AATAACTATCAAATGAAAACAATGAGAATCTGGAATTAATTATATTAAAGTCAACAGGGAGGAGTCGTTATTATGTAGTGTTGTCCCTTTATGATAAACTAGTATTATATAGAAGATACGTTGATGATACATTTCTATTCTTTCACAACACTGAGGGGCCCGGCATGGCCAGGTGGATAAGGCGCTCGACTCACAATCTGAGGGTCGCGGATTCGAATCCGCACCCCACCAAACATGCTCGCCCTTTCAGCCGTGGGGGCGTTATAATGTGACGGTCAATCCCACTATTCGTTGGTAAAAGAGTAGCCCAAGAGTTGGCGGTGGGTGGTGATGACTAGCTGCCTTCCCTCTAGTCTTACACTGCTAAATTAGGGACGGCTAGCGCAGATAGCCCTCGTGTAGCTTTGCGCGAAATTCCAAAAAACAAACAAAAAAAAACAAACACAACACTGATCAGGCCAGTAGGTTTTAGAATACCTAAACGCACAACATTCATGAACGAACTTTATATGTGTGAGATGGAAGAAAACAATAACGTAGATTTTTATATGTCCGAGTAAACAAAATAAACAATCTTTTTGCTATATTTATTTACCGTAAGAAAACATTTACTGGCTTATACACTCTGTTCGACAGTTTAATATCAGACTCCTTCAAACATAACCTTGTTCTAAATCTTCTAAACAGAGCCTATAATATCTGTTCTGAATACTTCTGTCGTCACTCAGAAAGTTCAAAAATTCACATTACAAAGTAATGGTTATTCCCTTAATTTTTTACACTCTATCACACGAAAATTTTTAACCAATAAAATTGAACATACAAAAAGCTACACACTGTCTCAAAATACCCACTAGTTCTTATCAATCCTTTCATTGGCAAACAAAGTTTTAAACACAAATATCAAATTAAAAAAAATAATCAAAACATATCACCCACAAATTATGCTAAGTTTAGTATTTACGTCAAAATTTAGAATTAAAAATATATGTTTAAAACCAAAGACACTACCCATTCCTATGCGCTCGTGGGTCGTATATAAATACACTTGTGGCAGTTGTAAAGCAACCTGTATTAGTAAAACAACATGTCACCTACAAATACGAGCACGTGGGGAATTTCAACAATCTAAGTAATCCACTTCAGTCTTGTATGAGATTGCGCAGTGAGAATTAGAAGAGAATAGAAAACTTTAAAATTCTCGACTCCGGAATAACAAATTACGATTTGTTTGAAGTTAAGCACAAAGCAACAAAATGGGCTCTCTGCGCTCTGTCCACCATGGGTATCTAAACCCTTATTCTAGCGTTGTAAGTCCCATGAGGGTATGAGGATTGCTATGGGGGTACACAAATTACGAACTCTTTTTTTTTATTTTTAAAGAAAGCCTTTCTATTTTCAATGATCACCCAACACTGAATAATAACACCAACTCCTCCCTGTGGTCAGTAATGTAATCAATTCCAGATTCTCAGTTTTTATTTTTTTATTATTGTTATTTTAAAGATACAGTGTTTATATTTATATTTAAGCCTTTCTTTATAATTTTTTCTCTTAACAATGTTACGTATTAAACATGTATATACCGCACATTTTATCGTACATTCCATTATATTGTTACTTGTTAAAAGTTCTTTCTAAACCTCCGATTGAATATGAAAATTCGCTCAAAAGCTAATGTTGTCTTTTGTAGACAGAATATTGTGAACTAACTTTTGTTTTGTTTTAATGCTAATGACGGAATTTGAAAACATTCCGAAACGTCCGTGATTAAAGTTTATTTGTTTTGAATTTCGCGCAAAGCTACACGAGGACTGTCTGCGTTAGCAGTGTAAGACTAGAAGGAAGGCAGCTAGTTATCACCACCAACTCTTGAGCTACTCTTTTACCAACGAATAGTGGGATTGACCGTCACATTATAACGCCTCCGCGGCTGAAATGGCGAGCATGTTTGGTGGGACGGGGATTCGAACCCGCGACCCGTGATTAACGAATTTTTGTTTTGGTGTTACCGTGTTTTTAATGTTTAAGATAATTGTAACTATAAACTAATTGCTATGGGGAACTCTGATTGAAAGCATTCATTTCCGAAATTTCTGATCATTTTAAAGAAGAAGTACTTTGTGCAAATTTAGTAAAAATACAGTAGTAACACGTCAGTATAATAACTCACAGTGGCTAAAGAATTAAAACAATTAAAGACGTTTTGACAGGCCAAGCTTGTCATTCTAAAAGGATGGAGTAAAACTGTTTTTAGTCTTGTACGTTCAGGTTCAAAATGATCTTAGAGGGGTCACCGTTCCCTAACGGTAATAGAGTGCAAGAACTAATAATAATAAAAAAAAAGGACTTTGAAATAATGTTGAGTATATTTCCTCTATTTCTAAACATTTCTGTTGATTGTTTTATATTCCGTTGATGAAAGAATTTTGATTCAGCAACTATCTTTGATTGATCGAAATTAATTTGTGGTTGGTTAAGTGAACATGTGGCGCTAAAGTCGATTTTTCTATTTTATTTTTTTTCCTTGGACGGTAGACTTCGTGTTCCTTTAGGCTTTACTACAATTGCAATATACATGTTTCTTTGACCAATAAAAGTACGATTACAAGAAGGAATGGAATAATAACCCTGTCTGTAGTGGGCTGATGTCTTATCTTTCCCTTTATCAGATCTATTTAAAAGGATGTTCACTGGCTTATAAGCTAGTTTAATTCTATATAAGCCGTTTCAAAACAACACCCATTTTGTTTGATATCAGTAGTTAGTAGGTTATAATTAGACAAGGGCAATATGATATATCTTAATCCATCTACGGTTATTTGGTTCACTTTGTTGTTTAATATTTTCACTTTCAGTTTTGTTGAACAAATTACATATTAACTTCGGGTTTCATTCTCATGGAACAACATTTTTGAGGTAGTTCAGTTCATCATGAATGGCCTTTTCGTCACAACAAGCATTCAACATACGCCTACCTGATCTTGTTAATTTATGTGACCATCACTTACCAGAAGATCAACTTGATGTGCTATGTTTGGATTAAATTTTTCTACCTCTAGAAGCAAAGTCTACAACGAAGAAATCGTTAATAAAATTGAAGCAAGAATGCGTGATTTAAATACAATTGACCAATTAGACTCGAGGTTTACAAAATCTTAAGAACTAATCGGATTCCAAACCATAATCTAACTACATCAGAAAATAATTCACTGAAAGACTTGTAGAACAATAAAGAGCTTATTGTAACAAAAGCTGAAGAAGTGGGAAAAATAGCCTGAACTATTCTTTGGTCAAATATTTAGTGAACAGACTATCATTGCTAGTTGATTTAAATAAATATACTGTTACGTATCTGCTCCTTGTTAATTTCCGGTATAAATTCTTTCCGAGAAACTTCAGCGTTACAAGTCCTTTCTTAATTAAAGCTAGTTTATTCTTTTTTGATACAACTTTTTAGTACACAGAATTTCCACAGTCACTTTAAAACTTAACCTTCGCTTGACTCAATTATCTATCTCTTCAATCGCACTGGTTTTTTTCGCCAGGCTTATATACTAAAAAAGATGGCGCCTCGAACGAACTAGAGTTTCCAGGAAAATTCACGATCCTTCAAAAAACTCCATTGCACATGCTCCCAGCGTCGTGTTACTTCCGCTGTCATAACAATACTATAAAAACTTGATACCAAGTTAACAAATAAAGTAAAAGTATGATGTCCTTTGACTTAAAAAGCTTATTCACCAAGGTTTCAATAGATGGAACTCTATATGCATTATTTAAAAGATTAGATGAACGCTTACCTCACCTACTGTTATGGGGCTTTTTGAAGATGCGAGTCTTTTCAAACACTCAGCAGCCATTTCTCAAGTGATGAATGCTAATGTGATAGATTCAGGAAATTTTTTGATCGTGTTACTTGCTGTAAGTTCCAATGTCTTGTCAGAATGAACACAGTAATTGAAAACGATGGTGGCCATTTCCAGAAATCAATGGAATGATTCCCACGAATTCTTATGCTTGTATCCAAGACATTTTGTCTATATGTTACATGCATTGAAATAAAGACTGTTTCAAATACCAGTATGAACTTTATAGCCGCTATGTCAATTACTTATGTTGATTGGATCTTGAAACTAGAAATATGTATGTCAATGGAGAACTCAAAACCATTCTTTAGTTGCAAAATGCTTAACAATTATTTTTTTTTTTATCAGAAAGTTATCTAAGGAACAGTAACATGTACAAAAATGTGAAGAGGCTACAATTGTTAGTAAAGAAAAAAATAAAGACTACAAAATGATAGCTCTGTCCACAAAAAAAGTAATCAATATAACGCTAAGAGAGAGAAAAACACATTAATGATGAACAAGTCTCAAAGTTTGTAGAAAAAAAAACTTGAAACAAAATAAATACATTCAATTAATAGGAATTTAAAACAATGAAGGAGAAAAACAGCTTATGTGTTGATGAAGCTTATAAACAGTTCATAATCAACTCCGAGATTTAAGATTGATCATGTAAGGTATTGTAGAATTTTTACAAGAATTGGAAATATTCGAGATAAAGGACAATGTTTGAAATATAATATAAATGTTAATTGATGATTAAATACAGTTTATATAATATTTGACATTACATGTATTTAACAAATATCAAAGATAGATATTTGCAAAAATAAGAGGTTGTGTAGATCTTGTATTAGTCTTTTTTTGTGTACAGTATCATGACTGTCAAGTTTTCAAAGACGAGAAACAGAAGATTATTTCCAGTTATGTGAAGTGCATAAGACTGTTTCAACTTTTCTTCATTTCTGATTTTGAATGAAGGTCATCTATCTGAAATCTACTGTTGATCAGTCGATGACAGAAAACTAATTTTTTGGTAAAAACTTTCTTCTTAGTTTCACACCAAGTGATATTAATACATTGTTCTTCCCATTTCAATCATAACACAAAAGATTTACCATTAATTAATTATAAAACTTTATTTTCTTTTCCAAATTTTTTCTTTACATTCACATAATTAATTCATGAATAGCTTCATGAACAACATGATCGTGGCTAAATGTAACATAATTTTTAATATTATTCCCAACTTTTGAAGATTGCCATTTTCAAGACAAAATTTCAGATACGTTAGTTTTAAAGATTTGATATAAGAAATGTATTCCTCAGGGTCTTCTCTGAATAACAATAAAAGAAACAATAATAAGTCCGTGTAATTAATAAAATTATATATAACAAGCACACCATGTATGTGAACATGACTATATCATAGCATAGTTCTATCATGAAACAGGTGGAAAAGAAGGAAGAGGGCTTTTGTAACTGAACATACATGAACCTAATTTAAATTATATGAAAGATCACAGAATTTCACTCATCCTTACTATTCCACCTTTTATTACAACACTGTAATGGACAGTTCAGTTAGACCAAATCAATGGCCTTTATATATATAATATATACGTTTTGTTTGTTTGTTTTTCTCAAAAGCATGTAACAATTCTTGTCAACCTGGTTTGAAAATCCACAGATCCAATAAAACAATCTTTCTTGTTTCTTGGCACACTTTGGACCATTTAATCAATCCGATTATTTTGCTACAAGTTTTGATTTTTAGCATAATTTTACAGTTAAAATTTTAAAATACATCACTGATATAAAACTAATATTAATGTAAAATATATGAAAAAAATTCTTGTTTTATATAGAATCCATGTGATGAATAAACCCCATATCAGAAAATGAGAGGAGAAACAAGACCTTTCTTCATAGTATATTGACCTTAACCTAATGTTAAAAAAAGTACATGCAATTTACATGGTAATATATTTCTTCAAATACTTTAAGAATCATGCTATTTACAACTATCAATGGAATGTTTAGCTGTTTTAGGCTTGAAGGTTTAGTGACCACAACTATTTCTAAGAATCCCTGCTATTTCCTTGTAGCCTTCATTATCTTATGGACAAGTCTGATGCTTGTATCTCATTAGGAAGACTCCTATATTGGCATTAGCTGGCACTCGCTGTACAGTAGGCATAAAGGAAAGGTTGGTTTTATTAGTAAGATGGAAGCAAGTTTTCAAAATGTCCTAAAACTCAGACTTGTCTTCTTCAACCAATTTTTGTGTATCTTTACCTGTGTCAACTAATGTAGGATCCAGAGATGATTGACGCATCTGGACTTGTGGTGATGAACGTTGTACAATACTAGATGGTGACAAGACTGCAGACTCTGGGGTGGATTTGTTGTTGCTACTATTGTTCAGTTCTAATGATAATTTTTTATTAACAACCTCTGCTGGTACCTCATACAGCCCACCTTTTTTACCAGACTCCACACCAGATCCCATATTGATAGCATCATACATTGGATTACTGAAGTCCGTAGGATTGTTGATGTCTCCAAAATTAAAATCTGCATCTAATGGCTCCTGAAAAAGTCATCAGTCAGAGCGAAATAAGTTATAGTAAACTTACTAACAAATAATAACTTTCATAAATTAGTTTAGAAGAAACTGCATGAAGCATCCAAATCAAATAAAGAGAAATAGAAAATGCAAAAAATTTTGAAAACTATACATATAGGTACAAATAGTATTAACTAAATAACCAAAGTAATAATTACAAGTATCAAAAACAAAAAATAGACTTACCAAAATCCAGTTAAAAACTGGAGCACAATTTAGTTATTTTCTATATTATTAAAAAAAATATTTCTGACAAAAGTAGAAATGATTAGTAACTAGTGATATTAAATCCATGTTCATTAATTGACAGTAATGTTCCAACTAAAGGTTTTTACACATTCCACTGTTGAACATATAAAAAAATATTAGTTCCACACCCAGATAAAAGTGTGAGACCCTGTAACCAAAGCACTTTTGAAAAGTGGACTTTTCTTCATCAGAGAAGAATTAGAACCCAGTTAACAGAGTATGAGATGACAAAAAAACGTTATTTCTGTTAATGTAACTAAGTTATGAGAAATAAAACCACTGTTCAAAATAAATAAATGACAGTTGACTTAAGCCCTTTTATTTTATTTAACATTGTATGTTACCATAGATTTCAAAAGTTAATAAAAGTTTAAGTAACTTTATTATATACACCTGGAAAAAAGTTAAGCACCCCCGTGTTTTTTTCAAGT